AACCTGAATACAAAAAAAAAAAAAAAAAAAAAAAAAAAAAAGAGAACATCTCTCATGTTGGTTATCAAAGTAAATGTTTGTACATGGCCTTTGAGAACTTATAACTACTTTTCTGAGTGATTATTTTACCTTTCATTTTTGGTCCTTGTAAAGATCATTGCATATTTGTTTTCACTATGCAGATGCGAAGGAAATTATTCAAAATCCCTCATTTCCTAAATTTTTTCCCGTTTGGAATACAATTTCTTGAGATAGTTTATGCACAAAATGCGTTAAACTTCATGAAATCCGCCTTTTTGCTATAAAAGTGATGATGACATTTCTGTCGCTTCTATTTAGTANTAAACTTCATGAAATCCGCCTTTTTGCTATAAAAGTGATGATGACATTTCTGTCGCTGCAATTTAGTCNAGATAGTTTATGCACAAAATGCGTTAAACTTCATGAAATCCGCCTTTTTGCTATAAAAGTGATGATGACATTTCTGTCGCTTCTATTTAGTAGAACAATTCAAACTTCTCCGATGGAAAATGTTTCTTTAGAAACCATATCCAGCTGTACACATGAATAAAGGAAATTCTTTTTAGCTTTTTGGTTTTTGTGAATATTTTTTGAAGTTTAGTTCAGTGTTATTTTTTTGCTATGCATTCTAACTTGTAAAAACATGAATTCTGTAGCCGGAACAGATTTAATTTTTCTTTGTTTACAGACACTATCCCTCGGAGCAATGAAGGTGAAAGTCAGAGCATGCCAAATAAGGACTCGAGTTTGTTCTATCAGGACGAAAAAGTACAGCCATGTCATCTCAGCTCGTCAATATACTATGGTGGCCAAGATGTCTATTCTCGGCCACAAAATACTCAGAAACCTGGGTACTCAAATGTGAGTATACATTCTTTTAATTCAGATGAGTTCTGCATCGCACTATGCTTTGAGTACACTTACTGACAAAGTTCTGTTGCGCAACTCAAGGAGCATAAATAATTTTTCAAAAATTCAAAATCATATTATTGGTTTTACTTGTCTTCTTTATTGTGGCCATACTTGATGAGAGGTCAATAAGATTAAGAATAGAGGAACATCGGACCCAAAAATAAATAAAGCAAATGAGCAGCACGTTTCTTTAATGTTTTCATTTCAAAGTGTTTTCTTTCCCGAGGGATTAGCTAGTCGATGAGTCAAAAGTCAAGGTATTAACATATCTTTTTGATCTTATCAGTTAAATAAAGACAAAGGAGAAGATGACTCTGGCAGTGCTTCAAGAGGAAACTGGTGGCAAGGTATGAATGTGGCCCTGTATATCTGTTTTAAGTTTAAATCATTCAGTTGAGACATTATTTTGGTGCTTCATACTCCTTCCAAGATTGCAGCAACATAACCTTTGTGATTTCTTTTTACCACAGAAACATATGAATGAGTAGGGTGTCTGCAACTGTGACTGGACTCTAATTTGAATTGTGCTAACAGATTCATTGTTTCAAATACTTGTTTTGCAAGGTTCTCTCTATTACTAAGAGCTCACCAACCATGGCATGTGAATTTTCCATATATTTATCCAGGTATTAAATTACTGAAAACATTTAGGAAATTTGGATGTGGATTCATTTACTGATTTGCTTTTTCATTCTAACTTGTATAAAAAACATCAATTAGTTCCTTTTATGGATTTTTGAGTGGATTTTGATACAGTCTGAGTTAAAGATCTTTTTTTAGATCAGTCGTTGAAGTTATCCAATGATGAAATTTTTCACACATCCTATGTAGCTCCATATTCCAATATTGCATTGAATTTTTCTAGTTTCTCTGTTCAAAAATTTTCTAGGTGTCATAGATTCATTCCTTTTAAGCTCACAAAAATTAATCGTAAAACTAGTATAGTTCAGAAAATGAAACTCAGTATCCTTTGAATCCCCATAATAGGGGCTTTACATGTGAGCAGTAAAGCTTTGAAGCTGTTGGTTGGAAATTATTGTCGAAAACACTCTCAGTTGTCATCAGGTTTTTGGATTACTTTGTGTTTATTGAGATGTATTTTTTAAAATTTTGTCCTTTAACACCAATTGATATGTATCAAACTTCCTCGGTTTTCTGTCTCTTTAGATCATAGCGGAGAGGGGGGTAGGTTGAAAAAATCGGAGAGGTTAATGAAAAGGCAAAGAAAAGCAAAAGAGAAAATAGAAAATTAGTTATGGTTGATTCATTTCTCTGCTCTTCGTCCCAACTGATATCCTCAGTCTGTTCTCTTTTATTTGTCTTTGCAGGTAGTATAAAAAAGTAGGGTATTTAGAGGGTTTACTACTACTTTCCTATATGAAACTATGGATTGAAGCAGGTGGTGGCAGCGCTGAGCGTGGCCAGTTGTTACTTCCTCCCGCCAAACATCCAACCATTATATGTAATCAATCGTTATATGTTATTTCTTTGGTTGAAAATCGAGCTTGAGCCTGTAATGTAAAGAATGTTTGATCTGTGAACTTCATCTACCATATTCTGTTTTGTTGTGGGAAGTTTTAACATGAAACTCAAGTACTATCCTTGTGTGGTTGAACTTTCTTTCCTTTCTTACCAAGAAATATGCCGTTTGCTAGAAACTACAATTACGAATAGATGGTGGCCCAACAGGCACAATGTGCTTGTAATCTGTACATTAGTCTACTATGATTTTGTCCACTACCAATCAATGATTTAACTCTTGATTGGAGCGTGAACCAGACAGTTTGTCTTAGAGCTGTGGACTTTCTCCATCATACCTAGGATCAACATTTTCATGTTGTGGCGATTCTATAGCCAGCATATGACTCACTGTTAGGAACAGCCCATATAGACCGGTGTATGGACCACCACTGTTCCTCAGTGATAGTTAAGTCGGTTGCTAGATATTTAATGTAACAGTAATGTTACTTCATCATATGATTAACATATGGTTTCTCCAACCAATTAGAAACTAACAAATAAGCTTAGTAAACTCCACTTGATCCAACATGATAGTTGCTAGATGTGACGGTTTTTGGTAGTTGTGAATATAGTGAGGTTCACTAAATCTATTTATTGGTTTTTAGTTTTTGATAAGTTAGTGATATTACGGGTAAACGAAGATATGGTAACACCGCCTTATTGAAGGTAGATACTGGATATAATGTAACATATAAGCTGCTAACTTTTATTTGTTGACAAACACTAGCTGAAGCAACACAGTCTCTTTTTCATTAAACTAGTAGATACAGAGGCCTTCTCATCTGAGTTTTATGTAATCCATGGTCCTCCAGAACTTATTTTATCCTATCAAGGAAGGGTGTAGGCTGCAAAAACACAAAAAAACACAAGATTCAGGGCAGAAATGGTGACAAGCAAAGAAGAAATTGAAAGCATAACGATGAATATACTCACGTCCACATTTGTAGCCTACAGGACGATTAGCAATGTTGCAGCGCTTTGGAATGGTCATGGCAACTTCTGGTTTGATTCCAGAACTCTTGGCAGTATTAGAAAGCATTACAGCACAGAGGCAGCTTGGGTTCTGACCAATTCTCTTCACCTGAAGGCAGCAACTGTCTGAGACAGCAGCCTTCTCGTCTTGTGCCGCCATTGCACAAGGGGCCAGCTTCATAGCCTCATCATCTGGAGAAGATTTTCCACATGGCCCTGCCCCTGCCCCATCTGCCCTTTCAAGCCCTGCAATGCCAACGATTGCGAGCAACCCCAGAATGTAGATGACCTTCAGTGAAGCCTCCATTTCTATTTCACAATGCACACCCAACCACACAGATATATACTGGGAGAAAACCTCAGAATGGTGCTTGATGGGGCAGCACCAAGCCCTAGTGGAAGAAGCACTTAAACTGAACACCAAACATGGAGCATTTCCTCAATTTTCGGTCCAATCAAAGGTTGGAACAGGCAATATCCATAAGATCCTATTTTATAGTACACTTCCAGAAGTGACATCTTAGTGACAGGAATAATTTCAAATCCTTGTTGTCCAGCCACCTTGCCATTTCTGGAGATTTATTGACCCACTAACATATAAGTGGCCTCCTGCATTGAAGCCACCTTCTCTGCAGATTAAATCATCCACTAGGGTGTAATCTATGACCCATAAGGCAGGNTAACATATAAGTGGCCTCCTGCATTGAAGCCACCTTCTCTGCAGATTAAATCATCCACTAGGGTGTAATCTATGACCCATAAGGCAGGCCTGGAACTAAATAAGTTGTTGAGAGCACAAAACATTGGAAGGACAGTGATTTCATCACAATGAAATANCCCACTAACATATAAGTGGCCTCCTGCATTGAAGCCACCTTCTCTGCAGATTAAATCATCCACTAGGGTGTAATCTATGACCCATAAGGCAGGCCTGGAACTAAATAAGTTGTTGAGAGCACAAAACATTGGAAGGACAGTGATTTCAATTAAAGTGTTGAACATCTACTGTGGGAACAGCATGAAGTATTGTATACAATACATCTATGAATGACAATGCTAACAACATAATTTCAGTCACCTAAACCATTCAACATATCATCAATTTTTACCTTCATAGTCCAGTTACTTAAATCACATAAGGCTTCAAGGATGAAAAAAGTTGTGGATGTGTATAGGAAACACAAAGCACTCCCGGCTTGTGACTGTTGAGGCATGCCGATACATGAAAACTTACAAAAATGATCNGAATGACAATGCTAACAACATAATTTCAGTCACCTAAACCATTCAACATATCATCAATTTTTACCTTCATAGTCCAGTTACTTAAATCACATAAGGCTTCAAGGATGAAAAAAATTGTGGATGTGTATAGGAAACACAAAGCACTCCCGGCTTGTGACTGTTGAGGCATGTCGATACATGAAAACTTACAAAAGTGATTNTTGTGGATGTGTATAGGAAACACAAAGCACTCCCGGCTTGTGACTGTTGAGGCATGCCGATACATGAAAACTTACAAAAATGATCGCCTTTCCACTTTCAAATACACCTTATACATCAATAAAAATCATACATGAAGAAGCTCAGTTGAATGGCCATAGTTGGGAGAACTGTGAGGCTAATTCTGACTGTTCATTCTTCCCCATCCAAGTGGTGTTTTGGTGGGCCGAGAGTTTCTTTTAGATAGTCAAAAGATTCTTTGAGAAGCTGATGTTTTTTGAGTTGTACTTGAAAATGAATTTGATCCTTCAATTTGGTTGCTGTAGATATTCCCTTTCGTATCAATGCTCAAATAATCTGTCAAAACCTTTTTCACACTAACTCCATGATGAGGAAGCTTGGTGCTATCCAAAAATGGTGACCTTTCTGCTTTTGTAGAACTGATGCGCTGTGATGGTGAAAAGCTTGGCGTGGTAAAGGCAGTTTTATATGGTGTGCTCAATATGGGCGCCGCGTATGGAATCCTGACATTCTGATGAGCAACCATGCCAACTTTGGATATTGCCAAGCATTGATCTGAATGCTTAGTCAGTTCATCCACATAAAGTAGGTCATCAATACGCGCCACAATATTGAATGCCAGGCTTTCCAAAACTCTTGAATAGCTCTCCAAAATAGATTTGCCAACATCCTATGAAACATGGTATATTTGATTAGCTTGGTTATGATATTGAAACTTGGAGGCATAAATAGAGGACCAAATAATTAGGGGAAAAGTTCAAAAGTGATGTAACTAGAACCTTATTGTATTGGATTTTGTTCATGTCTAAGGTGGTCTGAGGGAGACCAGGAAAATGCTGCTTCAAACGAAGCAGGAGGCTCTCAGCTCTTTCTGCAAGCAATTCTCTCTTGTCTGCATCAATTACCAGGTCCTTGACCATTTCCCATGATGACTTCGAATTTGACCAACTTGTGCCATTCAAGGGCTTTGAGTTGGTTTTTCGGTGCCACACATAAATAGAGGACTCCACACGGTTGGCAATCTCTAGGGCTTGATGTTCAGAGGACAAATCAATACAGTCCAGCAGACAGTCTGGTGAAAACTGATCTGATGAAATATACCGATATATAAGATCACCCAAGCTGGCCTTTCCATTCTGCAACCAGGTAACAGGATAAAAAATCATGCAAAATCATCTTTCTAATCTCAGACAAATGTGTTTCTCTGCACTTGGTACCTTTGGAAGAGCTTCCAAGTATGGCTCAGGGATTTCCATTTCAGCTAAAGTAATACTGTTAATAGCCATGGCAGCTTTCAATATTTGGTTTGTGCAATCTCGATTGTGTTGCAACTGCTTTCTTGCATTTTTGCTGAGGCCACCAAAGGGAACGCGAGGAACTGGCAACCACCATTTCTCCTCTTGACGTGGGAGGAGCTTTCGAAATGAGGACAATTCACCAGCTTCCGTGGCTAAAACCCCTTGGTCGACATACCAGAACTCTGTATTCCCAAAATTGTCTAATATTTCCTGTGAACAGATGCCAAATTTAGAATAACCACTCAAGACTACAGGCAATCTGCCAAGAAACATGATTTGGAATCTTACAAGAAGCATACTATCTAATTTGCGCAGAGCTGGGAGATTGACATAAAGATCTGATCGGGGTCTGATTGTCATGACCTGAATCATAGCACAAAGTAGAAATAATAAAATAAAATTGCACGATTCATTTATAAATCTACCGATATAGTAACACATGGGTTTTCCTCTTGTTTTGCTCGTCTTGTTTTCGGGGGTCACATTCATGATTGGTTTAAATGAAGCTACAGAGGCTAACTTTACTGGAGCTTGGGGGCAATTTCGAGCATTTAGAAGCTAGAAGAACTTCTATAGTACTATTAGATCATTGAGTGGATTGTCGTCAAACTCATTTGTAAAAATGAAAAGGGGTTCATAGATTGGAATCAGGAGTCAGGACCTAACATTCAAGTCTGTAAAGAAATCAAAAGTTACCTCAAGCTTGCTTCCATCCGGAAATGTCTGCAAAGAGGGTATCAACTCTACAATGTGATCACTAACACAAAGAATCCATTCCATTTCTCTTCGCCACATTAATTTCTTTTCAAGTGGTAGAGGTTCTAGTCTCCAAATTTGCCCAAATAGAGTAGCTACAAAGTTGGGTATGAAGCACTAGATCAACTTTCAAAGTAAAACACCAATGCAGGAATTACATAATAACAGAATTCATTTCAAATTAATGAAATTTGATCACACAAAACCTGCATCATACAGATAGATAGCATACCACAGAGATTAGTAATTGAATTTGAAATTGTCAATGCTGTACAAACACCATTTCCACAACCAGACATATCTTCTCCAAGCAGCAACTTTGAAAATCTTTCCTTCATCATCTCAGCCTCTATTCAAACTCAAATTTTAAAAAAAAAATCACTCATCAAATAAGTAGATGCATGCATAAAAACATATACACATGAATGTACACTATATGTTCAGTGAGGAGAAGAGGAAATGACACAATTAGCACCTGACATGGATGACCCTTGTTTCTCTAACTTCCTGTCATCCATATTAGGTTTTGGTTTTCCAACATCTTCAGAAACATCAGAACCAGCACAATGTGGCACTTCACACTTCTGAATAGGCCAATACATTAAAAGGGGTAAAGATGAATCCTCAGAGCTACTATGTTCCTCGTTCACTTTTGCCTCTGATGCCAAAAAATCAGAACTTGAGCTACTCTGTCTGCACTCCTCTTCAATGACATCCACAAAAGTCTCAATTTTATTCTCACTTTGGTCAAACACTTCTATTATCCCTTCCATTCCTTCACTCTTCTCAACCAAACCCTCCATTTTAGTCTCAAGGAAATAAGGTGAAGCACAATATACAGAGTTGTTCACTACCATGCCAGTGAAGTGAAGCTTTTTACAGCAAAACCCATTTGACACTTTAGCAATACGACACAAATTTCTAAGTGATTTTGAGACCCTAACTGCCAGTAAAGAAAATGGGTTTTGGTTGTTGGAACTTGGGTACTTGCCTGGGAAACAAAGCTTGAGTTGTTGATGTGTTCGTTGGGTGGTGACGTGTGGTTCTTCTATGTATGAGAGAGCTCTCTCCATAAGGTTCCAAGTTCAAACATCTCTGATTCTGGAGGGTGATAGGTTAAAAAAGAGAGCAATGTACGGGTATTTTTTGGAGGAGCTTCGAGTATATTAAGGAAGTAGAGGCTGCTCACACACTTTAGCACATGATATATGTGACTCAAAAATACAGGACAGCCTCAACAAGCAGACCATAAAGAGCCAATGACGTTCTCTGTGAACGCTTCGCTTAAAATGAGGCGTCTCTCTCTCTCTCTCTCTCTCTCTCCTCGGCCGGTAAAAGATATGTCATTTACGTTGTTAAAATTAAAATATTTATGAAAAATAAATTTTTTATAATTTATCTCCAAATATTTATTAAAATTTAAATTTAAGACGTCTAAATTTATAACTCATTCATATTATCACTTGAATTCCCCTTTATTTTCATATATTACTTTGTTTAAGCAAGGCTTTGCTTAAACAAGGGCTCTAACATAATTACATGCATTATAATCATTCAAGTTTGTTTTATTTATGTAATAGAATAATTTTATTTAAACTGAAATTGTTAACCTAATTTGATGATATAAGATTGAATAGATTCATTATTAATCTGACAACCATAAGATATCATACCATTCAAATTTGACTATAAGATTAGTTTTAAATAACGCTACTAAGGTAATATCATCTTGTGTACTATGCATTCTTTAAAAAAATTGTAATTTTCAATGGAATACTTGGGTGGCAGTTCATGACTTAATTAATTTTTTTTAATGCTCCGTTTGGTATGATGAAAAAATAGAAGGATTAAAACTTAAAATGGTGAAAAGTTGGAGGGATAAATAAAATATTATGTTTGGTAAAAAAAAATAGGAAGGATAAAAAAATCGATGGATGAGATTTCTTTCCCAAATTAGTAGAAAAGTGGATGAAATATTAATTTTTTGTATTGAAATTTATCTTATTTGTCTATATATCATTTTATATTTACATATATTATGTATAAATTAATTTCATAAATAAATACAATGATTGAAAATTTTAGATTCAACACGATGATATGACTCGAACTCGACACGAATTTTAAGACACAAATTTGATTATAACTCGACGCGAACTTGAAAATAACCTGATACACAAACTCGAAATGTAAACGGCTCATATTTAGTTCAACTCATCAAACCCAAAATTAATACTATCAACCCGTTTATTTAAGAATAAATACTTTCTCTATTTTTTAGTTTATTTGATAACAAAAAATTAACGCAAAATTAACATATTTAACTAGTATTATAGACATAAAATGTTAATTATTTGTAATTATTTATTAAACACTGACATAATTATTATATAAAAAAAATTACTTATTATATTTATTTAAGTTAATTTTTAGTTTAAAGAAAAAGTATGAGCATGGATTCAATTAAGTGAAAATAAAATATTAGCATTAAATTTTTTATTTAAAATTTATGTGTGTCAGCACGAATACAAATACAAACATGAACACTACACGAAAATAAACAGGTCAACTTGACACGACACGATTAATTAAATGAATTGAGTTAAGTTTGACTAATGTTTGATACGAACTCGCAATGACTTAACACGACACGACTCGATTATCACCCCTAATCTTAACAAGTCCAAATTTTTTTTGCATCCATTCTACCAAACACAAAATAAGAAAAGTGAATCATTCCTACTCTTCTTCCTTGAAGGATGAAAAATGTATCCTTCGTACTTTCCCTATTTCCTATCAAACAAAACATTAAGGTTACTAATATGTTTTATAAGAAAATCCTTTAATCATTTCACATTTCATGCTTTGGGGTACCCAATTGCACTCACCCACTTCATTTTATTGTCCAAATAGGCCACACATACTTACAAAGAATGAAATTAACCATATGTGCTCTTACTCTTCACCAACCATAGTCAATTATAACCTTTGTGATCTAATGGTAAAATTTGTTTTCTAGTAAATAAAAAGTTTGAGATTCGAGACTTTTCACACTCCTTAAAAATTAGTCACTCTTATTCCTCAAGGAACATGTCTTAAAATTAGCTCGAATTACGGTAACCGATCTCAAAGAACTCGAAAACACCATGGATTATAACAAGGCCAATCAAAATGTATGGTTTTTCCCTTATTGGCAACCAAACAAGTCCAAGTACTAGACGGCTATTTTAGTCATTTAAAGATAGTTCAAAAACATCCAACATATATAAAAACCGATTAATGATGAATAGAGAAGTTCACGACTCTATGATATAAGTATTAAAAAAAATCAATCCAAAGTCAATCGATAATGACTTGAGAGACACTCGCAATACACATGTACTGATTTAGGATGACAGCATTATATTTATGTGGGACGAGTTTTAACATTCCTCGCATATTTAGTGATAAGATATTACCGCATGCAAAGTGTAAAATGGGCCACTATTGATAACCAAAACAAAGGCATCGGAGCATGAAACCAAAAAAAAAAAAAGCAGACAGTTTAAGCAATCATATTAAACCAAGAATGATATGGGGAATGTCATTAGCTTTGGACAAAATGTTGCAATTAAGGTCTCACCATAATCATAATACGTGATATATACGTCCTCACTTTACTTGTAAGCCTTCTTGTTCACCATACCATTTGGATCATTTTGCCGGTTGTTCCAACAGAAAAGTGGAAGTTAGACTCTTTCTAAAGGCTTCTAAGTTGTTTGGTTGATGTTGATAGTAGATTTGAATAGCCTGATGCTTCAGATTCAGATAACTTGGGGGTTATGACTGTTTGCATTGGAAATCAAAAAAAATTTCTATTCTCGTTATTAATTTAAACCCCCTTTATTCTAGTTCTTAGATTCAGGATTGTCAATACCTGAAACACTAGGTTTTGGTTATTAAAAAGTCAAATCATAGAGAGGAGTAAAGACATGTGAATTGAAGTTGGTCTTAACTATAATAGGACTTTTAATAAAAGCGGTAAGTATACTTGTAAAGAATTCAAATGTGACAACAGTTTAAAAATACAATATGATGAGAACGCAGCAATTGTCATTGATCAAGAACGAAATTCAAAAGAAACTCGAGTTTTGGTGCAATTGTCTAGAAATTGAAACAGGTCGAAAGATTTAACTGGGCATTGGGGGTGTTTCACTATAGGAAATGTTTTCTCTTCCTTTTGTTAAAGTTTATTTATGGTCTATCATATGCTTGACCCCATTTCAGTCTTGAACAGGGACAGGGATTCTCCAAGGGGAACACGCCCTCTGTTGGTGAATAAGACCAAAAGGGTGTTGAAAACTTAAGACGGTTTTGAAGCTTAAGCCTTCATACTAGGTGTGTAACTTGGTTAAGTTAATCCGAACTTAATTCAAAAAAATCAGTGTTGAATTGAGTTTTTTAAAATTTGGATTGAACTTAGGTCAAAAATCTTTAACTTGAATTGAATTCAGGTTGGGATCGAGTTGAGGCTTTCGATTTGCGGGTTCAACTTGAGTTCAAACCGAATTTTAAAAATCAGGTTCAAACCTAATTTTTGTTTAAGCATTAAAAAAATACATATATAAAGGATTACGCAATAAAATATTTTGTATACATTCATCAAAAAACTTTTATAGCACTAGAGAGTACAAGTTTCCTAGTTAAACTGGATGTTAGAATAAAGAGCAAAAGAAGATGTTTAAGTTAAAATTTTACATCAGTTGTACACAAAAAAATATCTCCCTCTTCTTTTATATAAAAAAAGAAAATTTCATTTTTTTTTTACTCATTAAAAAAGAGGTGAGGGCAAAAGAAAGCACTTAGAGATCACCTTGATAGGAACTAGTGGCATCATGAGACCTATGACCACGTCCGTTACTTTTCTAAAGAACAAATCTAACTAAGCTAGCATAGCGATCGATCACTGAGCCCCAATATAGATTCTGAGACTCGGATTTCTAACCTCAGAGTGAGAAGTTCAGTCGATATTCCACTGAACTACCCAACTCGGTTGTTGAGCAAATTTCATGTTATTTGTGTCTTTAATGGACTTAGTTTTCATCCAACCTATGTGAGTTTAATAAAAAAATTAAAGGTGTTAACTTTTAAAAATTTAAATCTAACCCAAAAAATTGAAGCCGATTTAATAACTTGGGCTCAACCCAAGTCCATCCCGAGCCTAAGCAGGTAGGACTTGGGTTGAAGTCAGATTCGAATTAGACTCAAATTAAAAATTTTATAATTTTAATTGAGTTTGAGTTGACCTCTTAATCCGTCTAAATTACAACCCTACCTCAAAATGGATGACGTAGAAGTTGCCCAAAAACAAATGAGTACCAGCTGCTCTTTGAGAAACCCATCACCACCCGGGTCAGTGCTCCCTATAACACTTTTTGTTAATTTCATTAATGAGCAGATCACCAAACATTTATACATGAATGACCCTCTTCAAATAGTGGGTCTTATTCGAATATTAGTAGGTGACCTTCCTTTAAATGCAATTAACTGAAAGTATAGTAGAAAGGCAAGTCATAACTGGGTTTAACGCGGACATTGTATATGAGTTTAACAAAATTTTAACACGACACAATCTATTCTCGGTCCTCATTCTTCATGGACTGACAAGCCATTCAAAACTGGGATTTTTCACGATGGTTGGCGCTGAAGGCCCCGATTTTGCTCTAATTATTATAAAATTTAGGGGCGTTTAAATTTATGATTATTCAAAAATTTTGATCCTACCCTGTTTTACCCGATCTTACTGATCAGGTACTCGAAAGAATAGAGTAGGGTTAACGGAAGATCTTTTGATATTTCACAAAAAATCAATTAAAAATGCAAAATACCTATAAAATTTTCTTTATTCTTACCCTACCCTACCCGCATATAGTGTTTTATTGATATTTATGACTTTTTTATATATAATATATTGATGTTTATGACATTCTTGTTGTGTTTTATTGTAATTTTTGTATTATTGAATTTATTGTGTTTTTTTTAGTGATATTAATTTATTGTGTTAGTTAATTGATGTTAGTTACTGAATTAAATT